ATGACATGCAGAAGCTATTTTATGGGTTTGCGTCAAATAAGCCGTAAACAAAAGAATTAAAGTATCTTAACATTGTCACTATAATTAGTTTACATTAAGCAATCTGAGGGTGATATAAAATTTAAGAATAGTTATTAAAATAGAACAGGATAACATGATGCTCTTACAAATTTTGAAATATTTTAATTGTGGATACATTTTTCGACGCAAACTTTACAAGCCTTTTGAATGCATATTCAGGCCTTAATATAGGCTTATGTGGGCCCACTTCGTACAGATTTTCTCAAAGTAGCAACATACAGCGGAAAAAAGTGTAGATTAATTTTGATTAAGTATATTCAAAGAAGAAGAATGAAGGGAATGGATACAACAGACACTAAAACTAGGATATTTATAAAGGAGAAGAGAAATATCGGCAGTTAACAAGGCTTTGCTGAGCCAGCTCGAAGATATCAGAATGCAGACAGCAAAGAAAGAAGCCCAAAAATAATAGGGTACTACGATGGAGGAGTAAGTACTGAATACATTTTCAGTTATTATTTCAAGCTTAATCAGGTTTAGAAAGTTCTAACCCAATTTAGACAATACAGTGAAGCCAAAATAAAACAAAAGGCTAAATAATATGGATTTTAAGTTCTGTCTACGGCAAGAATAGAAAATGCATGGAATACTGGTTGAGACTGCTACGCTAATATTTTGCTGGGTTATAAAACAGCTCCAAATCAAATATCAAGAAATTCAATCTTTTAACTCCCAGATTCCACCTAAGAAGCTTGAAAAGAAGATTTAAGCTTATATCTAATGGAGTATATCTAAGAAGGAGGATTACACAAAAATAATAGTATATGAAAAAGACTTTGGTGAAAATAAATCTTTTAATTAGTTAATGGTGGAAAGGGGACAGCCATTCACTGAATCCCCTTTTTTTTGTTAGGGCGACCTTCATTTCGTATGGAAGTGCATGAAGAAGAGATTCGTTGGTCGATCTCACCAGATGAGGACGGATGAATCTCGTTGTACTGCAGTTGTTTGGCTTTTGAGACGATATTCATATTGACGCAGTCCACGGGACTTCCGCCCTCGTTTCGGGTGAAAATGTGATGAGCTTTCGTCCATCATATGATGGACATCATCAGAGCTGGGCGCCATTTTTGTAAAAGGCTTTCGTTAACACTAGGCCAAGAAGACTATTCAGCTTTATCCTACCTCTTATATAGACTCAGCTAAGCCAAAATAAAATTAAAAAATTAAAAACCCAGATGAATATAGAGTGGTTTGGCTAATTATCTTTCATACCTGTCCTGCTACTTTTGCTT